CCTTGTATAATTAAAGAGAAAACTGTAAAAGTTAAAAAGGTGTTTAAAAATAAATGAAGTTACATTACGGGTGACTTTTTTGTTTGTTTTTCATTCTACTGTTCTTTTCATTTGGATAATTCTTTTTCTGATTCAATATTTAATAGTCGGATAATTTGCTGTATATTTTATTCATTTGTTCTTTCATTTCTCCCTGTACAGCTACTTTTATTACAGTTCTATGCCATGTGCATTGGGTTTTACTGCTCAGAGAAATGTACAAGGACACCGAGTGGGGCAGCATTGCTTAGCTTACTTTGATAGGTGCCCCTGCCCACACCCTGTTCTGAAAATGCAGAACCCAGCATTCTTCTGAAATTCTTTTCTTCTCTCCTTCAAAACAACTATTTATACACAAATACAATATTTGAATAATACAAGTTCAGTCTTGACTACTTCCTCCAGGCAGATTTTTCAAATCAGGAAATTACCAGCATTCTTTTTAACTGGTGGCACAGTTGAATGAGATTCAAGATGTTTAGAGGTCTTTAAAAAACTTGTGTCTTTCAAAAAACCTGCATGACGTATAAAGCTTTAAGACTAACAAGGATATTGATATGGTCCTCTCCCACCTTGCCCAACTAGTTATTATTATAGATTTCTACAAACTTGTTTTATTTACTCCATTAATTTTCTTTTGTTTTACATGGTCTTCCTGGCAAATATTTGAAGTTAAGAAAAAAAAGGATGAATAACCTACATTTGACTACCTTTTCCCCCTGAGCTAATGCATGACCACTTGCAAAGCCCCCTCCTTAATCCACAATAGTTGTGACATTTTGTTAATAAACCAGTTCAGTCCTCTACTAAAGGACACTGGCCATTTTCTTCTCATTGCTGTACCCATTACTTGCTAATTATTGCTGCTATTTCTTCAGATGATGCAGGCCACTCCTTGACTGCATGTCTGCTTTTGCTGGATACAGATCCTGCTTTGTCTGGATACCACCACTTTTACCATTCCTGCTTATCTGCTGCACACCACTTCTCCTTTTTTTTTTTTGAAATGGAGTCTTACTCTGTCGCCCAGGTTGGAGTACAGTGGCATGATCTTGACTCACTGCAACTTCTGCCCCCGCCTCCCAAGTAGCTGAGATTACAGGCATGTGCCACCATGCCCAGCTAATTTTTGTATTTTTAGTAGAGATAGGGTTTTGCCATGTTGGCCATGCTGGTCTCGAACTCCTGGCCTCAAGTGATCCGCCCACCTCTGCCTCTTGAAGTGCTGGGATAACAGATGTGAGCCACCTGCCTGGCCTAGTTCCCCATTCTTATGGGATCGGTTCCCTGTGGGGCCACAAAGGGGTCCTTTATAAAGTAGGAGGAGAATGCCTTTTTCTTTTGTTCTCTACTTTTTAGTGGGAAACTAGAGCAGTGTTGTTTGTACATCAGAGCATTTTGAGAAATACCTTGTACATTTTTCTCAGTCCTCCCACCACCATTGGACCTAGAAATGGATCATTAGGTACGGAGCTGGAAGAGAAGTCCAGGTCATAGACTCTATACTGTACTATGTTCAGAATTTACCCTGTGTCAAAACACAGAGAATTAATGGCTTGAATACTGGCTTTGAAGCTCTTCACAGAGCTCATTTTACTTATTCTCCTTGAAACAGTATAATTTTTAAAAATTAATTTAGTACTTTCAAACTTAGTGAAGATATGGGGGAGTGGACCTATCAGTTTTTCAAGTAAAAAGTGTTTTTCTGCCTCTTAGAAATAGCCAGCGTAAAACTGTCTGCCCTTTGGGGCAGCCCCACAAAAAAAAAAAAAAAAAAAAAAAAAAGAAATAGCCAGCGTAGATTATAATGAACACTATACTCCACTCTCCATTTCTGTTATCAGGAGAAAGTTTTGAAAATTATTATAAAATTGACTCAAACTGAAATACAGAATTTCAAGTGTTGTCTTCTTTTGATATGTAGGTAAAGGTGCAGTCTTTTGGTTTCATCTGTAAAATTTCATCTATATTTAATTTACATGATAAGACATTTTTATATAGCAACAAACAGTTAAACTTCAGCCTTGTCTTATGCAATTATAAACTAGTATTACTGGTATCTGAATAAAAACTAAATTGAGGAATATGATTTTTATTTTTCTAGTATAGTCTAGACGTTGGTAACTTTTGATGCTCAGTGTCGAAGGAAGTATGTACCTGCTTTACCATATCTTTTCTTTTTTTCTTGCAGTGAAATATTAACCCATTTGCATGTCCTAATTTGAATACCTTCTCTTATGTAGTAACTTCTCCACATCTGAATGTTTTTCCTTCATAAACCACCTATTGTGCTTGGTACTTATTTATTTCATACTGTGAGATTGCCAAATATGGTCAGAGATCATATTTATTATTTTATTTTTTTTCCATAGAAATTTGTATAGTGATAGATACACTGGTAACAGCAAGCAGCAACTGCAGTGTTAAGATAATTGAGTAAATGTATCCTGAAAGCAGTCCTGATGTAGGTACTTTATTATACCCATTTTATAGCTGGGGGAAAGAAATAGAGAAGTTAGATAATTTGTTTAAGTTAGCTACTAAGCTGAGAAATTAGAATAAGAAAACAGGCAGGCAGATTCTAGAATCCACACATTAAGCTAAATAGATGCAAAATAAATATTTAATACATTAACTGATATTTTAAAACAAACATTCCAGTCTTCACATTTCCAAATGAGAAGGCTGCAATTTACTTATTGTAATACAGTAAGTATTTTAGTTAGGAAAAGGTTAACTGTAAGATGACAATTGTAAAATAAGCCTCATAAAACTAACTGGAAGCAATTCCAAAGAACACTGCTTTGGAAACATTTTGAGTAATAGTAGGCTCACTAGAGTCACTTCCAAAGTGATAACTCTGAAAGGTAATACTCAGTTGAACTGCAGAATTAGTAACTAGTTTAATATCCCTTTTTCTCTACTGCTTGCTGGTAATGAACTGCAGTCTTTCTCTAAGTAATGCAGTCCACTAGCTTTCTAACTCCATGCCTGTATGTAATGGAAGCCAGCATCTAGGTACAGTACGGCAGATCTGGGGATTGATGGGTTCCTTATTTCATCTCTTACCTTTAAAGGCATTTAATATAAGGAATAAAGTAAATTCAGATCAACTCCAAATTTACTATTATAGCCTGTTTCCTCCTTACCCTTTCCAACTTCACCTTTCTGTCACTATCCACTGTGCATTTTAATCTACTGTCAACCTTGGGTCATGCCATCTTTTTACTCAAACAACTGTATATACTCTCTCCCACAACTCTGTCTACCCCAGTACAATAGAGTACTGTGATTGCAAACAGACTCTGGAACTAGTCTTTGTAGACCCAAAGCCTACCTCCACCACCTGCTAGCTATGTGACCACACTGTGTCTCAGTTTCCTCATTATAGGAATACTGATACTACCTCAAAGAATAGCTATGAGGATTAACAGAGTTAATACATGTAAAATGTTTGGAACAAGTATGTGTTATCTGTTGTTATCACCATCGTTTTCTTCCTCTTCTTTTTCTCCTTCCTGCTCATCATTGTCATCGTCATCGTCATCATCATCATCATCATCATCAACTGGTGAAATCCTATCCTTCTTTGAGGGCCCACTAACATTTCACAACTTCCCTGAGCTTTCTCATAGCCCAGCTGATAAGGCAGCATTGGGCCCCTCTTCTGTACTGCCACATTTTTCACTCTGCCATTCCAATCCTTAGCATACTGTATCTCATTAGTTGAACATGCATCTGTTCCTTGATTGTAAGTGCATTGAGGTCATATGTAAGGATGAAGGAAGGGCCAAGGCAGTTTGTACTATGTCTGAAATTATTTTGGATTATCACCCATATGGATACTATGGGAAATATTTTTAGTCACTCCTAATGTTAAAGGAACTGAACGAGTTTTCCTCCATTAAAACATTAAAATATTTTTCAAACTTCATTCAGAAGTTTACTAGAAAGAACATTTCTTTCATGATTTCTATGAAGAAAATGTCCATAGTTTACATTATTGTGTGTATTTCTAATATTTAATATAACATAAATACAGTGTAGTACTATATATATTTCAAAGAAAACATTTGAAAATTAGATAAATTCCTTTCAAACATTTGTAAAATGTTGACCTTTTTTCTAATGCAGACTGGCCTTCTCCCAATCAGTCTAAATTGATGAGGTAGTACTTGATTTGAAAAAAAGTTATAGTGTCCATCCCTAGCCCTTGCCATTAAAATGAGAGGAAATACAGGATGTATATTATTACTATCTTGTTTTTTGGGGAAAAAAAAAAAAAAAAAAAAAAAAAAAAAAAAAAAAAAAAATATTACTATCTTTTTTTTTGGGGAAAAAAAAAAAAAAAAAAAAAAAACCCCACAGAATAGAATAATCTGGATCCATTGTGACATGCAGATTAACAAATTAAACTGAATGCTAATGTGGTTTCAGAGGTTATTTTTAAGTAATTGTATTTCTTATAATAGTAACTATATACCATTTACCTTGCAAATTCCACTTTAATTAGCCTGTTTATATGTGATATTGTAAATATTTGCTTTACATACCAAAAATGCCCCACAAAATGTGCTTGTACTTAATAACTACCTAACAGATGTTTCCTTTCCTTAAAAATAAAACTTAAAAAATGCTTAAATACTAAATAATTCTAAATATACTCAGAGTCTTAACCAAACATATGCTATTGAAAACCTAAATACTATATATATTCTTCTTACCACATTTCTCAATGTGATGACATACTAAATCCAGGAAAAGAAGCGTATTTTTCCTTTTTCTAGAGTTTATTTCTGGATGGTTAACCAAGGATACACTAGAGCATGTTTATTCTAATGGACCATATTTCAAATAACAGTTGTGGCAAATGATTTTTTTTACTATTTCTAAGGTATCTTGATTTTATTGACAATATAAGATAATTAATTGGCATCTCTTTTTAATTATTTTTTAAACAGAACAGAGATTCCTTCTGCCATCAGATGTCTTTCTGCTTGACTGAACTGCACCTGTGGTCTTTGAAGAATACCTTACACATTGCGGGTAAATGAGCTCTGGATTAATTTCAATATTTTTCAAATATGTTACACCATTATAAATAAGTATTAGCAAAGGTTAGAGCCTGAATTCTCCAGCTGGAATTGCATTCTTTCTCTATTCTTAATGAAAAATTGGTTAATGGGAAATAATTCCTTTTAATTACTCTTACTAACTTAATATTTACAGCTTGAGTTAGGTTTTTATTTTTGAAAATTAATTTTATTGGCTTAATGTTTGATCCCTCTTATGATACACACATGTTCAATTTTTTTCTGGGATTGTTCATAATAACATATTCATAAATATGTACAGGATAGCTAATGGTAAAGGCATTTCTATTTGATTTAAAATAACATTTCAAACATATAGCTAAGATGTACAATTATTTTCATGTTCTTCACATTTTTTGGGGGGAGGATTATATGTGTGTTTTAATAATGCTTATTAACATAGGATATAATATATTTTATAGGAAATATCTTTTTAAAAATCTTTAATTATACAAAGTAACACTTGTATTTAGGAGGACAAAATTATTTATATTTCTTAAGCATCATTACAAAGAAAATGGCTTACCTTACAAAATACCATTTTTCCATATTAAATATAGAATTAAGCATAACTGTGATATTTTCATCAAGTTTATCTATTTAAAAATGTATAAAGATGAAATTTCAATTAAACTAAGTGGATTTAACATTCATTTGCTTCCTGTTAAAATTCTTCTAAAATGAAAATAAAGGAATAAAAATAAGGAAGGCATAAACCCTTTCGAGAGAGGGGACAACTGAAATTGGACAAATTTTGGAAGATGGGAGGCAAAGAGGAATTAGTAGAGCTGAAAAACCTGAATATAAATTGCCTGCAGAGGAGAGTTCCAATGACAGCCAATTTATGACTCAAAATTCTGGAAAGATACAGAAATTTGAGGAGCCAGATATTGTAGAAGATGGCATGTGTCATGAGACTGATGATAAAGATAAAGGGAGATGCAAGTTTGCAAAAGAAGTTGTGAGATACCTTTCATGCTGTGGAAATATTAAATTAAGGAGGCTCTAAAGTTGGGAACACCAGGGCCAGTGAAAGAAGACATGCTGAACTGGAAACAGGCATGAAATGGAAGGAAGCCTACATACTGATGGGTAAGGTCTTCTTAATCCCACTTTGTTCTGAGAATGTCATACCCATTTGTATACTTTCCAAGAAAGAAGGAGCTTGAGATAGTCCTCTCTGGAAGAACTGCATGACCCTAGAAAGAAGGCTTATATACATAGACGTTTGAGGGAGTCCTTTGGTGAAATGCTCCGGTTCTTGGCCAATCAGTGAAGCCCACCAGTTGGCAAGCTCTATTTGTGTACACAGGGCTTCCATTCAGCTTTTTAGTGCCTTACTTGTAAATACAGAGAACGAAGGATCACCAGATATTTGAGGAATATCTTCAACAGGAAAGAAAACAAAGTGAATAGATGAATGGATTTCTGAAGAAATAGAGATAATGTAGGAAGGGGGAAAAAAAGTACAACAGAGACCTAAGAAAACATACTAAATCCATGAAAAAAGAAACAAAAACAGAAGCTTCAGAAAATATTTGAAGGTATACAGATCTCTTGAAAAGTAAAAATGTGTTAAAAAAAATTCAAAACTCAAAAGTGTAAAAGAAATCTCCTCAGAAAATAGAAAAAAGAAATTTTACTGCTGGTGGAAATCTTTAATTGAAATATTTTCTTCTCTAATCATAATTGCCCATTTTTCATCTTATTCCCTTATTCTCATATACCTAGGTTTTATGCTTCTTTGAGACCGTTAATCTTTTAATCCCTTGATATTCTCCTAGTCCATTGGGCCTTCTTAATTTATCTTCCTACCCAGCTTGGACCCCATGGTTGGAAGTCTGAGCTGTTCCATCTTGATCCCCTTTTACCCCTTATCTTCTGTTCATGCCCAACAAACTCCTTTCCTGCCCTTCCATCAGTCCTAAAGTTTTCCATCCCTGTTTCTTCTATTCTGAGGCAGTGAATGGTTTTAGAGAAGAATCACACAGTGGTGCACGGTAGCCCCATGGAAATAGTCTTTAACCCCAACTGCATTTTTGCAGGGCCTCTCTATTGGGACATTCTTCTGTTTAACCTTTTATGAATCCTACTTCTTTAGGACTCAGCTTTATTAAGTCACTTAGAGAAGGCTTTCCTCTTATCTGTACTAAATTAGTAACCCTATTAATGTGCTTTCATTGTGCTTGATGTTTATTTTTAAAATGTTTGATATAATCACAAACTTACAGAAAAATTGCCAATACAGAGAATCTTTTTTTCTTGTACCATTTGAGAGTAAGTTGTAGCCTGTTGCTTGATCACCTCCAAATATATTCGTGTATATGTCCTACAAAAAGAATTTTGTCCTGCATTACTGTATAGCCATCGATATCAGGAAATTAACAATGATGTACTTCAGTCTAAATGGACCAGTCCACCAGTTGTCCCACCTTTGTTCTTTTTTTGGAAAAGGATTTTGTTCACAGTAACACATTGTATTATTACCATGTTTCTTTAGTGTCCTTCATTCTTGTCATCCTTCATCCCTTTTCTTTTTTTAGGTTTTATTACCTTAACATTTTTGAAGGTACTAGGCCAGTTTTTGTGTAGGATGTTCCTAAGTTAGGTTATATTGAAATTTCCTCACAATTAGATTCAGGTTATGCATTTTTGATGGAAATATCTCACAAATGATGCTGTATTCTCAATGCATCCTATCAGGTGCTGCATAATTTCAGTTTGTCCCTTTCCTGATGATACTCATGATTACCTGATTAAGGCAGTGTCTGCTAGGCTTCTCCACTGCAAAGTTAATTTCTTCTTTGTTATTACTAAGTATTTCGTAGGGAAGTACCTTGAAATTATGTAAATATCCCATTCCTCATCACACTTTAAATATCTTATATATTATCAATTATCAATAGATTTAAAAAGCCTTTTACTGAAGTATAGCGTATGTACTGAAAAGTGTAGACATCATAAGATTATGTTGTGAACTATCAGAATGAGAAAACACCCATAAAATCACCACCCAGGACAACAAACAAAATATCAGTATCCAAGAAGTTCTACTCATGATTTTTCCTAGTCAATCCTTATTAGATATATTCAGTCTAGAGACATGAACTGCATTCTTTAAAACTGTATGCCTCTACTAATGACATGATGAATAAAATAGAGCTTCAACTAGTACACACAATTGACTATTTTGAAAGACTATATTAGAAAAGTTAATTGTAGCAGTAATACTTTTTTTTGGTTTTATCATTCAATTTGAGAAAGTTTAGGGCAGTCAGTCACTAGGGGGCAGCCTGTACTGCTTTCACCTCTTTACAAACAGTTATATACTCCTTATCCTTACGTTAGTAACTGAGAATTATTTTGCATGGAAGAAAACAAATGTTCCTTCAATGAAAGAAATACTTTTTTATTCATAGATATGAAGAAAATGGACAAAATTATTTTATTCTTTTGTATTTAAATTGCAATACATTCTTGATTAAATGAATCCTGACATCTGGGAAGCCTAGCTTTGCTTCTTAGGTAGCCTCAGCAAAGTGTCTGAATTTGAGCAGGTTTAGAAGGGGCTTTCCCAGTTTAAACAAGTTTTAGATAATAATTTATCCAAAGCTTCCTCTAATCTTCCCTTTCTTTTCTGCAGATTTCTCCCAAATGCCATAGGATAGAAACTAGACTCTTGAGCTAAATTGGAGAAAAGAAAACCACAGCTCAGAATCCAACAGGGCATTTTCTTCCATGCACTGATTTCATTTGGCATTGCTTAGTGGCAGTTCCTTTCGGTAGCGCCCTGTGAAAAATATCAGAGGAAGTGTGAAATAGAAAACTTGGTTTTTCTTGATTTCAGTTCTTTACTAATCTTTTTCTCATGCCATTCTAGTTTTGTATAAATCTTTTCTCATTAGATTGATAAACTTTACAGTTTCTGCATATCCCTAGAGTATATGAACTTATCTCCAGATGCTTTTGAGCCATTTTATTTCTGGTAACATAAGGAGACTGTTTTCTGCTTTTCTCCCTACCCTTCCCCCAGTATAGTATGGCTTGGCTTTTTATTCTCTGGGTCTTTTAAACCACAATTTAATGTTATTTCTTCCTTTCTATAGATAGAGACATTGGGATCTACCAGTATTATGACAAGAAAGATCCACCAGGTAAAGTACCTATTCTGTGCAATTAATTTTTATTAACTAAATATTCTAAACCATGAAGTACTGACCAGTAAAAACCTTCTTCTTATGAGCTTTAGATAAATTCTAGAATTTTAAAAAAAGTCCCTTCAGTTCTTTAGAAAAATGCTGAGGTTGATATTGATCTGTTCTATATTAAATAAAGTAATATCGAGAAAATGCTGTAGAAGGACATGAAAATTTTCATCTTACTCTTGATCAGACTGATAACAGGGCAGTCTATTCACGTGTATTTATCAGTATCCCAGTAGAGGGCATTGTTAATGCATAGGTCCTACTGATGCTGGCCTCCTGGATCCTCACCTAATATCTGAAATAGGCATTTCTGAGTGAATGATCAATTTTCCTTATCTGATTAATCCTGTTAATCCCTGAAGTTTTATGATGGGCCAAAAGGTCTTTCTAGCTAAAGTTACTTCCTGTTTTGGTCTCTGTTGAAGTGGGCTGTGTGAGCATCCTGTGTGCTTAGCTTAGTGGTTAATAGGCTGACTTCACGGTTCTGATGACAGACTGAAGCAGCTTCTGTTCTGGGCTCCATTGCACTTTCCTATCTGATGAGAGTGGAAGCTTAGGATATTGGTCCACCTGTTGTGCCCTTTCACTGCAGATATAGGAAATATCTCTATGAAATGAAAACATCCAAATTATGGCATGTTTTTCAACTGTTCTTTTAGAACCTTAGCATAATTTATTAATTTCAGTAATACATGTAATGTTAATATATGTGTACATATTAAAATACAAAGCATTATAATAAAAATAAATTCTGCTTTTGTTTTTTCTTTCTATCCTTTCTGCTTCAATATCTGCGACAGAGCATGGTAACTTAGAAGAAAAGCAGAAGCTGGCAGAGTGTAAGCCTACTTTATATTTTTTTGGAACTATAAAACTGAAAAGTTCAGTATTATAAAATATTCATCTGGAACAAATAGGAAACATTATTCCCTCCAAATTTCTTATAATTACAAATTCTCATTGCTTAGGAATATAAACATATGCCTAACAATTGTATTTGTCAGGCCTTTACAAAATGTACGTTTATGTAAAGATAAACTTCCTTAATGAACTATGTGTTATTTAGTATGTTTAAGATAATTGTACCAAACTTAAACACTTAATTATTAATACATGGCCAACATTGTTAACATTTCTTACCCATTTTTAAGAAAATAGTATTTGTAATATCAGTATTAGCATTTTATTCACTCTAGTCTTCTCTGATCTCCAGTATATAAGTGTATATAAGTATATTATGGCTACAAGGTAATATGGTTTTAATGACTTAAAATTAAACATACATTAAGATTTTTATGGAGTATAGCTAGAGCTGAAAATCCCATTTGTTCTCTTGTGTGGTGTTTTGTTTTTTTTTTTTTTTTGAGAGGGAGTTTCGCTCTTGTTGCCCAGGCTGGAGTGCAATGGCGCAATCTTGGCTCACTGCAACCTCTGCTTCACAGGTTCAAGTGATTCTCCTGCTGGGATTACAGTAGCTGGGATTACAGACGTGCCACCACGCCCAGCTAATTTTGTATTGTTAGTAGTGGCAGGGTTTCTCCATTTTGATCAGGCTGGTCTCAAACTCCTGACCTCAGGTGATCTGCCCGCCTCCGCCTCCTAAAGTGCTGGGATTACAGGTGTGAGCCACCGCTCCTGGCTTTTTTCTTGTTTTTTAAATGATTGAACTGACATTTAATTTTGAAAACTACTGTGTTAGTAGCTGCAACACAGATTTAAAAATTTGCACTTATATTCTACACATCAAAATTGTTTATAGACCAAATTCATTTGCTGAAATAAGATATATAGCAATTCTACTCTCAAATTTAAGCATCTGTGTGTACTATATATATGTATATGCACATACAACACATACATATGCACAAATATACTTATAACTGTTATTTAGAATTATTAATGAGGAGAATCCAAAGATGAATTCATTTTTCTGATGAAATAGATATGAGTTTAACATTTTAAAATTATTTTAAACAGAACTATTTTTAATTTATTTTAGGCTAACATGACTCTACTAAATAATTTTATCTTTCAATTAAATTTATTTAAAACAAAACAAAGTCTTACCATTATGGTATATACTTTAAAGAAAGCTGTTCTTAATTAAAAAGAGCACTGTTAGGGCCTTATTTGTTAAAACTTGGATTTCCCTCAGATTTTTCCATAGTTTTAAAATGTTGTGCTTTGATGCTTAACTTCATATATTTTTATGTAAATTTTTATTTTTAATTTTTTTCATATTTACATTTCTTTGCTCATTATATTCATTTACTCATGGTAATTTTTTTAGGTCTGAGTACAGGCTACTTGGAGAATTTGGAATTTCTTTTGGATTGAACATTTAATTATTTACATGAAAAAGTTACTTTCTTGGTAAAGAGTACATCATTTACAATGAATTACTAGATTCACAAGCCTAGCAAACTTTTCCAGGGATTCTCCAAGCCTTGTTGGTTGTCATCGTAAAATTATGATTAGGGAGATTGTTTTGTGGTAAAAATCCTGTTTCTATGACAAAGCCTTTCAAAAGGCTGTCATTTGATGATGGAAATGAAGCCTACTTCCTCTCAATTATAGAGGTGTTTTATTTTAATCTTCCTAAGGCACACTGCTAAGCAGAATTTCCTTTTTAAAAAATCTTGTTTAACTAACTGTAGTACATGTTTTATTTGCCAGCACGAGATTATCCTTGGACGCTCAAAAACAGACGCCCAGAAAAACTCCGAGACTCACTCAAAGAGTTGGAGGTATCTTTCAAAAAGTTTCAAAAATGGCAACAAACAAATCTGTTTTTAAAACATCTTTCAACAGCTTTAATTTTCATAAAGGATCAACTCTCATGGTGATGATAGCTTTGCTTTTGTCCAGTGATGAGTTCCAAAACAGTTGCGTCTTTGTGTGGCATGTTGATCTTTTTTTGCTTGCAAGTCAGAGGCAGTTTAACTGATAATCATAATGTGTATAGCCAACTGCACTCTCTCTTTTTCTGTTGTACTTCAGGAGCTGATGCAAAACAGTCAGTGTGTGCTGAGCAAATGGAAGAACAAATATGTCTGTCAGGTAAAATGGTTTGACAAGCCTTTGCAGTGTTTAACCAATGGAGCTGAAAACTATGTAGTAATTGGTATTCTTGTGTTATGATAGGTAATGGACAAAAACTTTTTTTAGCAGTGGATATTTCATAGTTTGAATTCTAGTCATTCTAGAGCTAACATTAGACAGATTGACATAGGACAACAGGCTCATTAATCAGTATTAATTAGTATAGTTGTATAGTTGTACTGACATATGATAAACACTAATAAAAATCTTTTCATATTGTATTTTTGTTTGAAGTGGTCTCAATGTTGTAGTAGATGTTTGCTGGCATAGATTTAATTTTATATATATGTATTATGTTTTAAGATCTGGGATACATGTGCATAATGTACAGGTTTGTTACATAGGTATGCATGTGCCATGGTAACATGTGCATAATGTACAGGTTTGTTACATAGGTATGCATGGTGGTTTGCTGCACCCATCAACCATTGACATTAGGTATTTCTTCTAATGCTATCCCTCTTGTAAACCCCCCCCACCTCCTGATAGGCCTTGGTGTGTGATATTCCCCTACCTGTGTCCATGTGTTCTCATTGTTGAACTCCAATTTATGAGTGAGAACATGTGGTGGTTGGTTTTCTGTTCTTGTGTTAGTTTGCCAAGAATGATGGTTTCCACCTTCATCCCTGTCCCTGCAAAGACATGAACTCATCTTTTTTTTATGGCTGCATAGTATTCCATGGTGTATATGTACCACATTTTCTTTACTCAGTCTATCATTGATGGTCATTAGGGTTTGTTCCAAGTCTTTGCTATTGTGAACAGTGCTGCAATAAACATATGTGTGCACATGTCTTTATACTAGAATGATTTATAATCCTTTGGGTATATACCCAGTAATGGAATTGCTGGGTCAAATGGTATTTTTGGTTCTAGATCCTTGAGGAATCACCACAGTGTCTTCCACAATGGTTGAACTAATTTACACTCCTACCAACAGTGTAAAAGTGTTCCTGTTTCTCCACATCCTCTCCAGCATCTGTTGTTTCCTGACTTTTTAATGATCACCATTCTAACTGGTGTGAGATGGTATCTCATTGTGGTTTTGGTTTGCGTTTCTCTAATGACCAGTGATGATGAGCTTTCAGCTTTTTTCATATGTTTATTGCCCTCATAAATGTCTTATTTTGAGAAGTGTCTGTACATATCCTTTGCTCACTTTTTGATGTTGTTGTTTGTTTTTTGTAAGTTTGTTTTAAGTTCTTTGTAGATTTTGGATGTTAGCCCTTTGTCAGATGGATAGATTGCAAAATTTTTCTCCCATTTTGTAGGTTGCCTGTTCATTCCAATGGTAGTTTTTTCTGCTGTGCAGAAGCCCTTTAGTTTAATTAGGTCCCATTGGTCAATTTTGGCTTTTGTTGCCATTGCTTTTGGTGTTGTAGTCATGAAGTCTTTGCCCATGCCTATATCCTGAATGGTATTGTCTAGGTTTTCTTCTAGGGTTTTTATGGTTTTAGGTCTTATGTTTAAGTCTTTAATCCATCTTGAGTTAATTTTTGTATAAGGTGTAAGGAAGGGGTCCAGTTTCAGTTTTCTGCATATGGCTAGCCAGTTTTCCCAGCACTGTTTATTTCTTCATTGCTTGTTTTTGTCAGGTTTGCCAAAGATCAGATGGTTGTAGATGTATGGTGTTTTTCTTAGGCCTCTTTTCTGTTCCCTTGGTCTATAGGTCTGTTTTGGTACCAGTACCATGCTGTTTTGGTTACTGTAGCTTTGTAGTATAGTTTGAAGTCAGGTAGCATGATACCTCCAGCTTTGTTCTTTTTCCTTAGGATTGTCTTGGCTATATGGGCTCTTTTTTAGTTCCATATGAAATTTAAGGTAGTTTTTTCTAATTCTATGGAGAAAGTCAAAGGTAGCATGCTGAGGAAAGCACTGAATCTATAAATTACTTTGGGTAGTATGGTCATTTTCACGATATTGATTCTTCCTATCCATGAGCATGGATATGTTTTTTCATTCATTTGTGTCTTCTCTTATTTCCTTGAGCAGTGGTTTGTAGTTCTCCTTGAAGAGGTCCTTCACATCCCTTGTAAGTTATATTCTTAGGTATTTTATTCTCTTTGTAGCAATTGTGAATGGGAGTTCACTCATGATTTGGCTCTTTGTTTCTCTATAATTGGTGTATAGGAATGCTTGTGATTTTTGCACATTGATTTTGTATCCTCATTGTTTGCTTCAGTTGCATGTCAGCTTAAGGAGATTTTGGGCTGAGACAGTGGGGTCTTCTAAATATACAATCATGTCATCTGCAAACAGACAATTTGACTTCCTCTCTTCCTAATTGGATACCCTTTATTTCTTTCTCTTGCCTGATTACCCTGCCCAGAACTTTCAATACTATGTTGAATAGGAGTGGTGAGAGTGCACATCCTTGTCTTGTGCCAGGTTTCAAGGGGAATGCTTCCAGCTTTTGCCCAGTTAGTATGATCTTGGCTGTGGGTTTGTCATAAATAGCTCTTACTATTTTGAGATATGTTCAATCAGTATCTAGCTTATTTAGCATTTTTAGCATGGCGGCGTGTTGAATTTTATTAAGACCTTTTCTGCATCTATTAAGATGATCATGTGGTTTTTGTCACTGGTTCTGTTTATATGATGGATTACATTTATTGATTTGTGTATGTTGAACCAGCCTTGCATCCCAGGGATGAAGCTGACTTGATCATGTTAGATAAGCTTTTTGATGTGCTGCTGGATTTTTTTTGGCCAGTATTTTATTGAGCTCTGCTCTGGTCTTAGTTATTTCTTGTTGTCTCCTAGCTTTTGAATTTGTTTGCTTTGCTTCTCTACTTTCTTTAATTGTGATGTTAGGATGTCGATTTTGGATCTTTCCTACTTTCTCCTGTGGGCATTTAGTGCTATAAATTTCCCTCTAACTGCTCCTTTAGCTGTATCCAAGAATCTGATACATTGTCTTTGTTCTCATTGGTTTCGAAGAAGTTGTTTATTTCTGTCTTAAACTTGTTATTTACGCAGTGTTCATTCATAAGCAGGTTGTTCAGTTTCTATGTAGTTGTGCAATTTTGAGAGTTTCTTAATTTTGAGTTCTTATTCGATTGGCACTGTGGTCTGAGAGAATGTTTGTTACGATTTATGTTCTTTTGCATTTGCTGAGGAGTGTTTTACTTCCAATTATGTGGTCAATTTTAGAATAAGTTTGATGTGGTGTCGAGAAGAATGTACATTATGTTGATTTGAGGTGGAAAGTTTTCTAGATGTCTTTTAGGTCTGCTTGTGATTCTTTTGTGTCATCATTCTTGTTTGTAGTTTAGGCCCATGGTTCTATTCATAAAGCTACAACATCAAATTTGTAGTAAGTGTAAACAGATCTTAATCTACCATTTGAATACATACTATCATTTTAGTGGATTCTAGTTTTTCCTCATTTTTTGTCTAGTCTGTGTTTGCTCATGGAGGCAACTATTTAGTTACCTTCTCAACTGGCATACATTTTTATTTTTCAGAGGTCGTTTACAAGGGTGAGTTAGCATTTTTAGAATCATAATACTTATATTTGCCTTAGGATATTATTAAAAAGGATGGAAAATTATAGCTTATTTTTATAATTCAATCATACTTTGAAACTGGAATACAAAATATGCTCCAGAAAGTTTCAAACTTAGTACAACTCAAATTTGTGGTTTTTAATGTCATTACTCATGTTAAAAATAGGCTCAGAATTGCCTGGGCACGGTGGATCACGCCTGAAATCCCAGCACTTCGGGATGCTGAGGCAGGTAGATCACAAGATCAGGAGTTGGAGACCAGTCTGGCCAACACGGTGAAAACCTGTCTCTACTTAAAAA